TGCGTATCAAGTAATTAGAAAATATCTAATTTTCAAGGAAGACTCTAAATTTTTTTTTTATGATCATAATTCATAATATATTTGTTGTATTTTGTTTAATTGTCTAAGGTGATATTATTTAGCTATGACGCATGGTTTGTGTCGACCTCCAACACCCCTTTAAGGATCACGATTTGGTAGTCATAGACGTGCATCCTCGATCGACGATAATAGACATGGTTCCTCATCTAACATTAGATGTAGATCTCCGTTTTGGAACGGACAAAACAATTTTACTATAATAAGTTTAAGGTGACATTTTACTTATTTATTTGTATTACATTTAAAATATTAATTTAATATTAAATGAACTAATATTAATATGTTTATTTATGTAGAAGTATTTTTATTGGGATTCGACGAGCGAGGCACAAGCCGGAGATGCTTGGAAGGCTTTAGCTAGGAAGCGTTACTCGACTTCGTCCACATATATGATGTGAATGATGAAATGCTTTTTTTTATTAGGCGGGAGGTCCGAGATTCATGGATGTAAGATTTTACCACATCTAATCGCCGGGCACATTTGCGGCGAAGCATCCCGTAATTGAATGTTGGAAACCAATGGTATTGGTTCAAGCACGTCTAGGCATATAAGAGGGTCCATATCTACTTCTAAGCACATCCGTCGCTTGGTAAATTCTATCATATATAATTCAATTATAATTGTCTTAAAAAAATTAATATTTGTAGCTCATATATTATTTGTATCTAATTTTTTAGAGTCGTGAAATTAGGGTATGAGCCTACAAATTTAGGTCGGTTTGGGGCCCTCATAAGCGACCAGATGAGACTTTTATCGATTTACTAGCCTAGACAATAATGGTAAGTGTTTTTAATTTTTAAATTATACATATGAAAATATAATCTAAAAAGTTGTTTTATTTTTTAGTTTATGCGGGAGCATGTAGAGGAGCTAATACGGGAAATTGTTAGGATACAATGAGAGGCTAGAATTGAGGAGCCATAGGTCGACACGAATGCCAAATTCTTCAAAGTTGTTAGAGAGAAGAAAAAGAATAGGGTTTATAGGATTGGGTTAGAGGCATCATAGTATTTATTCCATTCGATTGGCGTTAGCTATTCCTCCATAGCATCGCAATATCCCGACCCCAATGCTACCGATTAGAATCTTAACCGGTACGAGGAGATGATGATAGGAATGCAAGAAAGGTTAAATGAGCATAATAACATTATCATGTAGCGAGTAGATGAAGATCCAAAGGATGGAGAATCAATTTCATCGATTACAATGAAGTTAAAGAGGATGGTGCGAAGTCTCGCTCGCCTACCGACCCCCTACCAACGACGACTCCACCATCCTTCCTACCAACCCTCAAGACTTCATCGTCCCCTCATAAGCCTCGAGATTCCATCGTCCCTCCCAACGAGCCTTAGGAAAATGAGAGACGATTAGATAATCATGATATGGAGCGACTTTTATATTTATTTATGTTTTTATTTTATTCTTATGTATTAACAAATAATTTTGTAATATTAATTTAATTTAATTTATGATATTTTAATTTTAATAAAAAATTATTTTTTATAATAAGTTGTTTGTTTTAATGTTAGTTATATCAAAAATATCAAGAATTTTAAAAGTAAATAAAAATAAAATTTAAAAAAAGGCTTGCGATGGATTGGCGACGGAATGGAGAAAAAAATCAAATTCTTCCCAAAAAATAACGATGAAAAAAAAGCATGGTTATTTAATGATGAACTAGAGACGGATTTTAGCATCGAATCATTATGATGGTTTTTATCATTCTTTACCAATGGATGAAAGATGCATTTGTGGTGAATTATGGGATGGAATATGATAGTTTTGTTTCCAAATTAGAGATAGACATAAACTATTTAGCAATGAATTATCCACCGCTATTTTAGCAACGGACATTGTTCGGTTCGTCATAGTGGTTAGCGACGAGTGCTTTGGCAATGGATTTTTTTCCGTAAATCTGTTGCTAATTAGCTATAGCGACGATTTTGTTGATATAGCGAGTGAATAATCCATCGCTATTATACTATTTTCTTGCAGTCGCTATACTTGAGGCCAAATTAAACATATTTATTTTAGTTTCATAACATGTATTATGTTGTGAGTCAACTAAAATATATTAAATTAAAGATAAAAGATAAAATATCATCTAATTTTATAATTTTTAATCAAAATTTTATATCTAATTTTTTTGTTTATGTTTTAATAAATTTTGTAGTTAAAAAGCACAATTTTTTTCTTTCTTATACATTTATTCTTAAATGAAAATCCATAATAATCTAAATATAAATTTTTTAAAAAAGTCTTAATATTTTTTTTCATAATATTGCATCAAATAAATAAAGCAATAATTAATATAAAAACTTCCATAAAAATTAACAAATGAAGCTTTTTTATTCTTATTTAATACCGATGAGAATAATATTTTTTTTGAATACATGTACATTTAATTTCTATATATTCATTGACAAAATATTGAATAATATTAGTATAAAAATTTATATTTGAATTATTAAATAATTCTTTTAAATTATTATTTTAATTATTTTATTTGAAAGAAATTAATTTTAAAATATTAAAAAAGCAATAATAAATGGTTTATGTTATATGTGTAATTACATAGTTAATTTTATATAAAATCAACGATCGTACTTATTGGATACGGTCATTGATTTTATATATAGCATAAAATATTAAAATTAATTTTAATACTTTTCATACATCATGACTGTATTCACCGTGTCGGGATATGTAGTATAAATAAAAAAAATTAAATAAATTTGAAAAAAATATATTGAAGTTAATATAGTACAAAAAAAATACAAAATTGATTTATATAAAATTTGATTATATAAAAAAAGTATATAAAAACATGAATTTTATTTTAAAATTTTGATTTTTTAAAGAATAAGCAAATAAAAAAACTATAAAAAATTATTTGAAAGTTCATAAATAAAGAAAATAAATTATATTTACTAAAAATAAAATTACATAAAAAGAAGGATAAAAAATAAATTTAATGATAATTTTTATAAAAAATGACAAATTAAAGAGATCGATTTTAAATTATATATATATATATAATAGTCATCTTGTGTGAAAAAAAAATCAATTTCTCATAATTTTAACACTCAATTCAATAATAATAATGAAAATAAAAAGTATAAATTGGTGAAAAAAACAAACCAAAAAAATAAAAAGACGAGGCTCAATGCTAACTGCAAGTGTGCAATAGTTCAAGGTATTAAAAGTTCATTTAGGGACCAAAATAAAACATTATGTAAAATTTGAATATTAATGTCTAAAAATAATTTGAAAATTACAAAAAAAAAAAAAAACTTTATCATTACTACAATACATCCATAATGTTTTGTGTGGAAATAAATAATGAAAATCACTATTCATTTCCCCTTTTTTTTAAAAAAAAAATCGTTTGTTAACGTAAAAGAAACACTGGAGTTAGTGGTGTTGATAGAACCTCTTTAGAGAATATAAGGTTTTTCATGAGGTTGATCCTCGGTCGCCATCCAAGCACGAATGCCTTCATTTAAAAGAATATTTTTGATGTAGAAAGTTTAAAGTTCAAGATCTTCTGCTACACGGATTTCCCGAGAAACAAAGTCATAGAAACCTAGGTCGAGAGCCAAACCAACTACTCTAAGAGCACTTATCATAAACTACTTACTAGTACAAATAACATAAAGAAATGTAACCAATGTTTATTGAAAAAAGCAACCCCAAATTTGATCAAAACACTCCAATAATTAAATCATCGGTTTTTAGCATAATGTACATATATTTAGAGAGAAATGTATATGTACTTTTAAGAGAAAAAAAAAGGCTTTCATTATATATATTTACAAAAAGATGTATATATATTTTTAGAAAAAGAGACTACTCTTGAAAAAATATGCATCCATTCTCTGTATTTTCTCATTACCAAACTTATCTTTTTAAGAAAAAAATTATATATATATATATATAGAGAGTGTTGGACCGAGTGACTATAATGATCTTAAATAAGAGAATCCATGATAATAAAAAGTCTGAATTAACTTGGTAGAAAAGCTCAAATTTAATGAATTGACATTATATTTAATAGTACTTATAAATCATGATTTACTAGTTAGTATCCAATCACATCAACTAATGTTTTGCAAAAAGAAAAAAAGAAAAAAGAAATGGAAGATAAGAATCATCGAGTAAAATGGAAAAGAGTTGGAAAAGAATGCTTGTATATCGCGCAATAAAAAATTGTACAATTCAATAAAATGATCATGGAAGAAAATGTGGATAATCTAATAAGCAATTGCAAGTTGATGGGAATATCAGTTGCCATTCTGCTATTTTGTATTATAAAAAAAGAAGGGAAATTTCCCCAGCTATGGATAGTATAATATGCATATATATTCAAAGATATCATCTGATTTTATTTTTTAAAGGTTCACAAATCTATACACGAAACAACAAAGTACGGACAAAAACACGAATCTCTTGCTTGATTCAAGTTTCGACAACACAACAATTTCATATGGTCAATATTATCGTAATATAAGTTGATTTTTTTATAGTATTTTACAACTTACTATATCTTTTTTAGGGAAGCAGGCGTTTGTCGCGCAAAATATGTCAAATAAATGGTCTAACTTGATGGCTCCAGTCCACCACCGTTAGAAAGAAAATACCTCTTCTAGACACCCAACTAGCCTTCGCAATAACCTTCCTTGCCACTTAGGCTTGACCAAACCGAAAACCTAACTTTGCTTCCCTTTATATTTAGCAGTAATCAACCCCACGCTGCACACAAAACAATCCCCACCTCCCCCTACCCTGCCTCCTTCCAAACCATCGACAGCGCTGCCACCTCCGCCACAACCCCCCACAATCGGCTATTCCCTTCTCAATTTTAGGGATTTTGAGTTTCTTCTTTAAGGCATAGAGAAAAAGACAAAATACAAAAGCAATGCCTACCTTTACAACAACAACTATTATGTCATCTCAGAACAACAACCTTAATCTCCACCAATTCAAAATTAATCCAACGACGCAATCAAACATAGTAACAATTAACGTCGGTGGGCAAATTTTCCAAACAACAGAAGAAACCCTAACTCTAGCAGGTCCAAAATCCCTCTTTTCCCAACTCTCTGAGTTGAGTCAACTCGGTCCCCATTTCATTGACCGAGACCCGGAGTTATTCTCTATCCTCTTATCCCTCCTAAGAACTGGAAGTCTCCCTTCAAAGGCCAAATCTTTTGATCTCCAAGACTTGATTGAAGAGTCAAAGTTTTACAAGATTGAATCTTTATTAGTCAATTCTCTGTCAAACCCATCTCAATTTGATTCTTTTAACCTCGAAAAAACCCTAATTTTACCCTTGAATAGCCGGGACACAGCGTCAGCTGTTGCTACGACACCGTTTGGTATCTTGCATGTGTCTCATGGTAGTAAGATCACATCTTTTGATTGGTCATTGCAGAACAAGTCAACAACTTTGACCCAATTCACTGCAATTGATTCGATGTTAGCGATTTCCCCAAATTTGGTTGCTGTTGGGGCTACTGACTTCTCGGGGTTGCAAATTTTGGATCTACAGAAAAAGGGTTTTGTTTTGGAGACGTTGAATTGGGAAAATGTGACTAAATCAGGGTCAACAGTACAAGCAATCGGGTCATCTAATGATTTGTTGTTTACGAGTTTCGAATCGAGTAGGCGAAACTCGAATTCGATAATGGTTTATGATTTAAAGACTTTTTTCCGGTTACTGAGATTGGTCATTATGAAATATTTGGTGCTGATTTGGATTCTGCTATACCGGCCACGAAATTGAAGTGGGTAGAGAGTTATAATGTGGTAATGGCATCAGGGTCTCATAGTGGACCGTCAGGTGTGTTAGGGAATGTAAAGTTTTGGGATGTGAGGAGTGGAAATGTGGTTTGGGAATTTAAGGAAAAAGTTGATTGCTTCTCAGATATTACGGTTTCAGATAATTTGTCATCGATATTTAAAGTTGGGGTGAATTCTGGGGAGGTGTTTTATGCAGATTTGAGGAAGTTAGGGAGTGAGGGGAATGATTCGTGGGTTTGTTTAGGTGATAAGAGGAAGGTGGGTAATGTGAAGAAAGAAGGTGTTGGGTGTAAGATTGAGGCGCATGGGAATCAAGTATTCTGTAGTAAAGGTGGTAATATCGAACTTTGGTCTGAGGTGGTGATGGATTCGTCAAGGAAGAGAGAAGAAGGATTGCCGGAAAGGGTGTTTAGGAAGAATTGGATGGGGAGAGTAAAGGACATGGAAGGGTCAAGGGTAACTAATTTGGCTTTTGGAGGGAACAAAATGTTCGTGACACGGAAGGATAGGCAGTCTGTTGAGGTTTGGCAAAGTTCTGGTAGGGGTTTTTGATTTCAGATATGGGTTAGTTTGGCACTTCTGGATTAACTGTAAGACTGCACATGACTTCTGACAGTTGGCAGAATCTTCGTTTTTTTTTTTTTTTTTTTTTTTTTTTTTTTTGTATAGGTGTTTGTTGTTGTTGTTGTTGTAGGACTTGTTGGTTTGATAGTTGATATATTGGTAAATGGCCTTGTATTTTATCAAGCCTATAAGTGTTTATAAATGACTAGTTCAATGAGATTCATACGAGGGAAACAATTTGTTGTCTGTTTTCTGCTTATATCACTTTAATTAATATGCAGATAATCACCAATGACAACATACTTACCTGAGTTCCTTAGTTGACTATAGCACAATATTCGAATCTAGGAGTTTGATGTCCTTGTTTACCATATCAGAATCTAAAGTGATTGTGATTTATGCACTTTATCAAAGATTGCATTAGGATTTCATCAACAATCAATATAAAATTGCAACAGTGTCTCAATTTCCTGGAGCAATATCACCTTAGAGGAATTCTTTCTGGCTTTAATCAAGAGCTAAATATGTCCACCTATTATGTCTATATGGTTTTATAAATTTATAGTTTTTGATTTATTTTTTTCTTGCTCGTCCATCTTTCATTTCTGTTTGGAATTCTCAGTGCATACAAGCTAGTATTTCCTTGGTTTTTCTTAATGGGTTTTGATGTTGAGAATTGTTTGTTAAAATACCACAGATTGGCGTTGCTGTACTATTATAGTATTACTTCTTAAGGCATGTTTTGCTCCTACTTATCTAAAGACCCTTGATGTGTTTATAGGGAAAGTGAAGAGTAGACACGATTGCAGAAATTCTAAAGGACACACAATTTGACAATCAGAGCACGTCAAAATTTTGGCACCGTAAGCAATGGTTGTGATGATGTTGAACTATTGAAATACGTTTTATTATTTCAGGACTAGGTTGCTGTTCTGCCGGAAAAAAGGACTAGATTATCATATAATAACATGACTCTGCTTTATTTCAGTTGCTGATTTAGCTAAATATTGATTCAATGTTTTCATTTTCTTTGGAAAGATCAACTATTTTTTTGCTCACCTTGCTCTATTCTGGAGTTGGTTAATGGATGAACTTATCTTTGGTTACCTTCTACACCCCTGTTCTAGTATGATTTGGTGTTTTACGTTCAATGCAAATCTGTTGAAAAAAATAAAAATTCACGGGTTTGCATGGCACCATTTTGGCATTCTTTTGGTTAGAGTCATTGGGTCATTAGCAAGTGCCTGGATGATTCATCATTTTGCTTTCAAAATTGTGAATGGTATTTTTCTGACTTTATTTATTGATGATAATTTTAGAAAGGTGTGATGCATCTTTAAATATAACCAATTTTGAAGCATATCCATCATGTTTTCTCTTACCAACTCCATTCATTTTATATATTTACACAAAGAATGATGAATTCTTTTACATAGTCAAGTCACTTGAGAACAGCATTTATCTTGTCTTCTTTACCTCATGTACTGATTTCCTCCTTGGCCTTTCTCTCCTTTGTTCCATCTAATTTAGACGAATATGCATCATGATTTCTCTAACCAACTCCATTCATGGATCAAATTGTTGTCTGATGGATATATATCCTCATAAAGAATAGATCTTTTTGTCTATTCACTTTGAGAATAATATTCACCATGTCTCCTTCAGTGTCTGTACTGACTTTCTCTTTGGCCTCTCTCTCTTTTACACACTTCATTCTTGCAGTCTTACTAACTTTATATACTTTTTCTTGGCGCATTCTTCTTTATGGTATTCCTCTTAAGACCTAAATTTATCTATTATCTTGACTTTCTCTTTTTTGCAGTCTGCAAGTTAGCTGTATATAAATCCATACTAAGCTTACAGGCATTGGAAATATAGGAAGTACATTCGAAACCTTTTAACATCTTTCGTCAAAGGATTTAATTTGCTTACTTATCTCACTTTGCTTCATTTTGAGTTTCTATGGAGCCAGATACAAGTCCAACGTTCAATTAGGTTGACAGAGTAATTGTAAGCTTGCATATATGTGCTATATTGCCAAATTGCTCCAATGAGACCTCAGTGGGAACCTGCAGCAGCTTTAATACTTCCTGTTAAGTGGTTGGAAGCTTAAGCCAATCTCATTTGGGAAACTGGGAGGATGATAATCAGTGAATAAGTTTGATGTTATTATTAAATCATAAATGAATAGGTAGATCTATGGATAACAATGTGTGCCTATGATGCAACCCTGTTATGGCGACTCTATTTTCCTTGAGCTGTTGCTTGAGGACAGGGTATCTATTTGTATTGGTGATGTTACGAGGATCAAGATTACTAATGCAAGGTAGCAGGTACGTAGAGTCTTTAAGGCGGTATTTCTGAATTGGAGATTATGTCAACTCTACTGTTTTGCATACTATTTCAAGATACTTTGAGTTAGTAAAATGTTCAAATATCTATAACCTGTCCCACCCCCTACGTACACATGCACCCACAAGTCCTACACTGTTCACTTTGTCATAGGATGTCTCAGCAGTGCCTTTCCTGCTTCCTTTTTATGATAGGAAATGTTTTTGTCACCACATCAAGAGTCTCAACCCTCACTTCAAATGATCTTTTTTTAAAAGCAAGGTGATTAAAGAACTAATAGAAATGTGTGTAGTGGCTAAATTCTGGAAGAGAAGGGACAACATCTATTTAAAAAAATTATCAGTTAAGTTTTTTCCTCCTTTTCTGAATTGTGATAAGCTCAATAAAATAGTTTTTAATTTCTTGCAAACCAAATTTGTTTGTGAAAATAAACGTGTGAAACTAAAACTGTTTTCCAGACAATTAGAGGAAATACTAAAACAGAAACTGTTTCCAAAATCAAATTCAACTTTATGTATTGGTGTGGGGTTATATCCTATTTGAGTTCTTTCATTTTCTTCGTTGCAACTGCCGATACTTTTGACTGCTTGTGAATAAATCGAAATTCCATAGCAACTAGGAGAATATCTATGCACTTGGGCCACATATTTCCTTTTTACGCAAAAAGTATTAGACTTTCAATCAACCTTTTTCATCATGTCACGTCACCCTAAAGGTTATTCTGGAAATTTTTTGCTTGCTTTGAATTTTCTTGCCGCTAGGAATGTCTGCTCAGCTGCTTTGACTGCTCCAGAAGAGAAAATCTATAGCAATGTGAATCCATTTCTTAGCCCTATAGCATTGTCAATCCATTTCTTAGCCGCTCATTCTGATGTGTCTTTGTAAACTTATCATGCAAATATTCATATAAACTCATTTCATTAATATACTTGTATGCCCTTCTACCACCTGGTTCTACAGGCCTTTATCGCAATTTTTTCAATTTTGGAAACTTCCATCTCACTCAGCTCCTGATAAATTTGTGATTCTCTCTTTTCCAGTTGGTTGAATATATTGGTTGAGCTATGGAGTGATAACTATTTCTCTCAGGGCCAGGAATTATCTGAAGTTGAGGGGTCAGCTGCTAAGTGGTAGCTCTCAGACAGGCTTATATCTTTTAAGTTTTAGAAATGGCTCTGGCTCTGGTTGAGAAAGTAGTCTTAGGTTCAGTTGCCTTTGCAATGTTTTGGATTTTGGCAGTTTTCCCAGCAGTTCCTTTCCTACCCATTGGAAGGACAGCAGGTTCCATCCTTGGGCAATGCTTATGGTTGTTTTTAAAGTCATCACTCCTGAGCAAGCATATTCTGCCATCTACCTCTCTGTTCTAGGCCTTCTCTTTGGAACCATAGTTGTAGGCATCTATCTTGAAAGAGCAGACATGTTCAAGTACTTGGGAATATTGTTCTCATGGAGGAGTTGGGATGCAAAAGACTTGCCTGCCTTGTTTCTGCCATTTCAAGTGCTTTGTTATCCAGTGACACCACTTGTGTGATTCTCACTGAGTTCATATTAAAAATTGCTAGGCAAAACAAGATTCGACCTGATCCTTTCTTGCTTGGGTTAGCTTCAAGTTTGAGTATTGGATCCTCTACAACTCCTATTGGCAACCCTCAAAACTTGATAATTGCTATTCAAAATGGCATCTCTTTTTGGGGGGTTCGTATTGGGACTTCTTCCGGCAATGCTTGGGTATCTCTGTGAATGCTTTAATTCTTGTTTGCATGTTTTGGAGTTTGTTAAGGAAGAAAAAAATGCTTTGGATGAAACGATTCCCGAGGAAGATGCAGCTGTTCATCGGATTTCACCTGCAAACATGTCACCTCCCTCATCTTTGGAATCTCAAGAATTTAATCCCATTGAAGACCATTAACTCCCCGAGTTCCCCTAGAGTAAATAAGGATGGAGATCATTCCAAGACTCTTGAAAACAGATTGAGTGAATTAGATTTGTGCAGAGATTCCAGTGGTGAAATTGAGCAGAAGAAATCAATTGTTTCAGAGAAGGCGGCAACCGATGATATGTTTTCTGAAATAGTAGAGGAAATGAAGGAAAGGTTCACAAGGGGTGGAGTGCAAGGGACTATGGAAATAATGACTGATATAGGGTCTGGGCCGCAACAGTCCACTGAAGAAAGGAAAGACCAGCTGAAAAGATGGGAAGAGATTGTTACGGAAGTTGTGTGTTTACCTTGTTACTGTGGAATGCTGGTTGCTTTTCTAATGGGTTTGAACCTGTCTTGGACTGCACGCACAGCAGCAGTTATTTTTGTGGTTCTTGATTTCAAAGATTCTGGGCCTTGCCTAGAGAAGGTAAATCAACAGCCCTTTCACAGAAATATTATTTGCTTTTCTTGGTATTTTTTCATCAACTGTAATACTTCCATGCTGTATTTGATTTGAGTAAAAACTTATCCATGATAGCTTGAATCAGGTTTCATACTTTCTCTTGGTATTCTTTTGTGGAACGTTTATCAGAGTTGATGGCTTCAACAGAACAAGAATAACTAGCAGTCTCTGGAATTTACTGGAGCCTCATGCACGAAACAATCATGCTGCTGGGATTGCTGTGCTGGCCCTTGTAATACTCGTTCTCTCAAATGTTGCTTCAAATGTCCCAACTGGTAAGTTGATGCCCTTCTTTTTTTTTCTTTTTTTTAACTGTTTGCGATGGGGGGATTGAACCAAAGCTGCACAACTTCCAGAGTCTTAGAATTTAATCTTTAAGTTGCTAATGGTTAATTCTGTTTCTGGTCCTTGACCTGTATTTTCTATTTTTGTAGGTCAATCTTCCTTCTTACCAAATTCATTTTAAAGGTGCCATACTAATTTCCAGTTAATATCACTTCATGGTGGACCATTGAGGTCTCCACCTGTACTTTTCTACGGTCAGAAGCAAATATTCATTTTACACAAAACATGATATTTTTATTTTATTGTTGGGGAAGAGGTTTTTTATTTTATTTTTTTTGGGGGGGGGGGGGGGGGGGGGTGAAAAATCCTGTTCAATGGTTTCAAAGAAGGGAGCAAACTTAAAACTTGTTTTCTTCATTGAGATAATTAATCAACTTATGCACTCTCTCTCAAGGAGATATAATCCACCGAAACATGGTTAAAAAAGTTTAGCTGCAAGTTGTCTGCATCAAAAGTAGAACAAACGAGTGGTTAAACCATTTTAGTTTATTTTTTATTTTTATTTTTATTTTTGGGCATGGACGCTTTGCCCACCTAGTCCTGGTGATGTGCTGGTGCCCTCCTTCTTCAATCTCTCTCTCTCTCTCTCTCTCTCTCTCTCTCTCTCTCTCTCTCTCTCTCTCTCTCTCTCTCTCATATATATATATATATATATATATATATATATATGCATTGCTAAATCTATCATAAGTTTTGTTATTTTCATCAATTTTCTATTATAAATTACTGATAAATTCTTACATCTAGTTACCATTTGATCACTAACTTAATACGATAGTAGTGTGATGATAATTTACAATAAAAATCTTGATAGCAATAACAAAATATCTTATGAATTTAACAATACCATATATATATATATATATATATCCTTCATCAAGATAACCTTAGCCTATCAAATTTGGTTCAATCTCTTCACTTCATGATCAGTCATGTTGTTAATTAAGTTTGCTTAATAATTTATAACCAGCATGCAAATTAAAGAATGTTTTCTAGCAAATATAATAATTTGTTCGTTCGTATCATTCTCGTCTATTGTAAAATCATAAACAAAATCTCTAACCATCTCTTCTGTACCTTTGCATGCTTCAAGAAGTTCGAGAATTTTTTTAAAATAAAGTAGTTTATTTTTTTTAATCAAAATATGATATAGTTTTAATTTTATTTCTCTTAATAGAATATTTTATATTCCACATACTTCATCACTTGTACATATCATTAAAATATATTATTTTAAAAAAAATTATTTAAAAAACTAAATAATGAATTGGGAGAGAGAAGGTATAAGATTTTATAATCTCTGTTTCATATTTTTTGCCCTTTCTATATTTGTATTCTCTTTCTTCAATTATTATTATTATTATTATTATTATTTTGCAGCTTTCTTAAAAAAAATATCTATTTTACATCAAGCTAAATATTTTCTCTTTCATGGAAATTCCTTCATGCCATGGATCCTTATAGGCAAGAAGCTTGTACAAAAATTCCATTAAAAAAACAAAAAGTTTGTCTAAGTCTTCCCAAATCATTGTTCTCATGGTCAATTGCTGATAGGAGTTTTTTTTAAAAAAAAAAATCAAGGCAAGATCCATGGAAGACGTTGAAGGAAATAATTAATCAAACGGTTGTCCAATTGGTCATTACCGTGTGGAAAATATTCACAACCCTCTTAAGAAAAAGTTTTCTAAATCTCAAAAAGTAGTCAGAAAAAACATAAATTTCTTCATTATAGTATATGCACTAGCCGGTTACCTATGCTACACTGCGGATTTAGTAGAACAAATTCATTTTAAAATTTTTAAAAAATTTAATTATAATTTCTTATTTAATTAACTTTTTCTAATGTTTTTTATAAATTCTTTTGCTTAAAAAAAACATAAGTCATTGTTCTTTATGGACGGAAAAAAATCTTCTCATCGAATTAAAAAAACTTTAAGAATATATTTTTCATAATATTGTATTTCAAAAAAATAAAGTTATAATTAATAGATAGAATTTTAGAAAAAAACTAACAAATGGAAAAAAAATTCTTATTTAATGCTGATGAGAAAATTAATTTTTGAAATTATCAACGCAACGATATGATAGATAGAACAAAATCATTTGAAAATTTTATAATTATTTCACTAATTATTACTATTTTTTGTGTTTTTCATAAAATTTTTGCTTGAAAAAAAATAATTTATTTTTCTTTATTTAGGGATTCTTAAATAAAAATTTGTGATATATAATTTAAACCTGAAATATTAATTAAGAATATAAAAAAATGCTTTAAAAATATATTGTTTTATAAGAATATATCCAAAAAATAAAGTTATAATTAATGTATAGACTTGCATAAAAATTAACAATGAAAAAATAAAATATATTTTTATTTAATGTTGATGAAAAGATTATTTTTTTGAAGTACATATATTTGATTTATATATATTATATAATCGTCGGTTCGTATAGAAAAAAGGTAACAACTTGATTTTTAAAAATTTTAACACCCAATTAAAAAAAAAAAAGACCATAAATTGATGGAAAAATCAAAGAAAAAAAACGGTATGTAGTGCATCGAGTTAGGGATTAAAATTTTTATTTTAAAACTTCGAGGATTAAAATGAAATAATTAAAAATTTTAAAAAAAAAACCTAAGGAAAAAAGTAAGAGTGAAAATTGCAATAAAAAAAATCAAAACGAAATAATTTGAAAATTATATTAAAAAAACCTAAGAAAAAAAAAACTAAGAGTGAAAATTTAAAAAGAAAAAAAAAACACCTAAGAGTGAATAGTATATTGTGAGAGTAAAAAAAGAGGAAAAAAGGAGTGAGTACTACAAAAAAAAAATTAGGATAATAAACTTTATTTAGTTTTAGTACTAGTTTTTTTTCTCTGCGCTACTGCGGGTTGGATAAAATATATAAAATCATTTATAAAAATTATTTCAGTTTGATAGTACTGTTTTATGGTGTGAATATATAAAAATATATAAAATCAAAGATGAAAAAATTTATTTATAATTTTTTAATTAAAATTTTTGTATTTAAATATTTTTTATTTGTGTTTTTCATAATTTTTCCTTTAGAAAAAGATTTATCCTTGTCAATCTATGGATTATTAACTAAAAAGAAAATTAAATATTTTTTTAAAAAAAAGCTTTAGTATTTTATAAGATTGTGTCCAAAAACATAAATAACAATTATTAAAAGCTTACATAGAATTGAATAAATTATTTTTTTATTTAACGTTGATGAGAATATCGATTTTTGAAAAAATATGAATTTAATTTTTATATATCTATTTACAAAAGAATGAATAATATTAAAATAAAAACTATATTAATTTGAATAATTGAGTGGCTAAGACAAAACATAATTTTAATTATTTAGTTTAAAATAATTTAATTTTAAAATATTCACAAATAAATAAATAAATAGTAAATGCTTAGTGTAGTAGTAGTTGCACGATTAATTTCTAAAAAAACAATGATTCAATATTTTTTTATACATCATAACTATACTAAGTGAGTTTAGAGTTTAAAAAATACTATATATAAAAAAAGAGTTAACTTGCAAGGAATCTATTGACTAAAATTGAAGTTAGTAGACTAAAATAAAAATTATTACAAATTTGATTTCGATTAATTTTGATTGTATAAAGAAGAAACAAATTAATAAAACATGTGAATTCTCTTCTCTTTTTTTCCTTCTTCTTAAATATTTTTTTATTTCTATGCTATATATGGCTAGTCCTTGAATACGGGCATCACACGCAGAGCAACCATCTTTTTTTTCACATTTTACTTTCAATTATTAATTAATTAATTTGATTTTTTTCTAAAAAAGAAAAAATTATGTAAAATACACTTTTAATCTAAAAATGTATTTTAGACAAATTATATATATTAATCATGCCATTATAATTTAAAAGTTATCTAAATCTATTATTCAAAGGAAAAATAATCATGTTCTAAAAATTTATTTCAAAATCCATATATATAGAAAAATAAATCAAAGCTATCAATAAATATAATTTTAAATTAATTGGATCAGAATTTAAAAAAAATGACAAATTAAAGTGGTATTTTAAATAATAAAAATAATTAAGAAAAAACACTAAAACAAAATGATACCAAATCACAATATAATCAAAGTTTGAAATTGAAAAAGAAAAAGAATTTTTTAAAAAATGACAAATTAATGTAGTGAATTTTAAATAATATAAAAAAATCGAGAAAATATTTTTTGAAATACATTTTTAATCAGAAAATGTATTTCAGAAAAATTATATAAATATTAATCGAGCCACTATAATTTAAAAATTATCTAAATCTATATTTTAAAAGAAAAAAAATTCATGTTCTAAGAATTTATTCCAAAATCCATACATATAAAAAGATAAATCAAAACTCGTCAAGTATATATAATTTTAAATTAATTGAATGAGAATTTTAAAAACAAATGACAAATTAAAGTAGTAAATTTTAAATAATAAAAATAATTAACCAAAAAAAAAAATAAAACAAAATGGATCAAATCACAATATAATTAAATTTTGAAATTACAAAAATGAAAAATTAACATAGTAAACTTTAAATAATATTAAAAAATTGAGACAAAAAATTATTTGAAATACATTTTTAATTTAAAAATATATTTCAAAAAAAAATATTAATCATACCACTATAATTTAAAAATTATCTAAATCTATTTTTCAAAAGAAAAAATAATCTTATTCTAAAAATTTATTTTAAAATCCATACATATAGAAAAATAAATTAAAACTGTCATTAAATATAATTTTAAATTAATTGGATGAGAATTTTAAAAAAAAAAAAAGACAAATTAAAGTAGTAAATTTTAAATAATAAAAATAATTAAAAAACACCAAAAAAAAAGGGATCAAATCACAATATAATCAAAGTTTGAAATTGAAAAAGAAAAGAGAATTTAAAAAAAAAAAAAAAGAAGACAAATTAACAGTAGTAAATTTTAAATAATAAAAATATTTAACAAATTAAAGTTTGAAATTGAAAAAAAAAGAGTTTAAAAAAAGGACAAATTAAAGTAGTAAATTTTAAATAATTAAAAAAAACATTAAAAAAAAGGGATCAAATCACAATGCAATTAAAGTGTT